GTTTAGGGTGGTGACTAGTCCTCGCTTTGGGCCTTGAAATTAGATTTCTTATACGGGCTAAGCCCAATCGAAACCTTAACGATAAAATTTTCCAAAGGATTGGAAAATTAATTTATCATGAAAAATTGCTGTCAATTGTCATACACCAATTCTACAAATTTCTCACACGATTTTAAAGAAACAAGCTTATAATCTAATTTTTTTTTTTTATGGGGGGAGGTAATATTACTGGTTTCATACTAATATGAAATGAGAAATTTTGCGAAACTGAATTTAATTTATGTAAACGAAAAGAAAAGTAAAATTGAGATTTGGTATGAGATCATTTGGACATGTTTCGATCAAAATTACTTTCAGTTTAGAAAAAAAAAAAACAACTTTGGAAAGGTAAATGTACTACTTTTTCCTACAAATGTTCAATGTGGATAAAGAGATGTGGTATGATTCAAATATTTGAAACAAATTCTAATATGGTTAAAAGTCTAACCTAATTCGTTTTTCTTTTCAATATCCAAAAAATCAAAACTGAGCTATACAAAAACTCATGTTCTTTTTCCTGTACCTTTTTAATTATATGTTATAACTTATAAGTAGTTTGCAAAGATTGCTAATTTATTCATTTTTTCATGAAGGTTCTTGAAATCACAAACCTGCCGAGGGAATGCTTTTGTTCTCTAGTAACAAATTAAATTTTGGCAGTAACATACATCATCGCTTGCGATTAGCAACATAAGACAAATTTAAATATGAAACTGAGCAACTAGTTCTTGAAAACCCATAGTCGATTCTTGTTATTACAAAACATCTACTACTTTTAACTACCAAGATGTGAATAAACAACGTACCAAAAGAAAAAAAGCCTTATCAACATACAAAAATATATACAAGCCTCCCATGGAAATGCTTTTTCTCTAGTATCAAATCAGATTTTGGCAGCACGCTTACGAATTGCAATAACACGAATTGAAATATGAAACTGAGGAACTAGTTCTCGAAAACCCTTGGTTGTTTCTTTATATTACAAAACATCTACTACTTCAAAGTGCCAATATGATGTGATGAAAAAACACCAAAATACAAGTAGAATAATAAAGTTACTCATCATCACTCCTCCAAATGACTCCATTGGCACCATAACAGCTTCTCCACTAACAGCTTCGAGCTTGGCAATGATTTCTTTAGCTTCTTCCTTTGTGATACCTTGTTTAACCACGGACGGGACGTTCTCCAGAATATCTACTGCTGGTTTCAGACCCAAGTCCATTAATGATCTCACTTCTTCGGTTGATTTGATCCATGCAACTTCTCTAAGGACATTATCCTGTTGATCTTTATCAAACTTGATCAACTTCACAGCAAACTTCTCCCCCGGTTCTTCGGGTGTAATCTTAGGAGGATGTGGAAGCCCTAATAAGTCACTGAATAAATAACCAATTTTTTTTTTTTTTCATCTGGATATAGTTTCCTCATAGCCCCAATTGTGTCCATGACTCTGGGAGAAGGCCTTGGCCTACCAAACGGATCTTTCTCAACGAGCTTAGGCCAAGGTCTAGGTTGATACTGGCCAGAAGAAAATTTTCTGAAAAGGGACGTAAGCAGGAAACGTCCTTGCCGCACAATCTTCATAACTATATATATACACATTAGGGTTTATGATTGGATCCATGAAACATAGACTTATATGATGTGAAGATGAGAGTTATAAAACCGGAGAAGAAGATGAGAAAGACGGAAATGGCTTACCTCTAGCGTTGCGGTGGAGCGAGAACGGCTAACTTCGCCAGGTGTGATGATGCAGCGAGAGAGAGGAGAGCCACGAGAATTATTGTTCCACTAGAGTTGGAAATTGGAATGAATTATTGTTTAATTAGGGTGAACATTCCACTTGCTTTATAATTACATCTCTTTATATGGGCTAAAAGCCCAATAGGGTTGGAAAAAAGAGGATTAATGGGCCCTTCGATTTTCACCACTTGTAGCCCATTGGGCTGAATAATAAATATCCTTTGACGCCAATAATAATAGGTTTTGGGTGGGTAATTTAGAAACTGGGCATAAAGAATAAAAAATAAAATTGCATTAACATTAAGAATTTTGGCTGAAGAAGAAATCTTTTTGTTCAACAGAAGAAAAAAAAAAGATAAGAAAGATCTCGCTTTTTTTTTCCAAGAACTGACATCATGCATGTACCAAGGTTCATGTGGCTTATGAAGGACTTTACCGATCGAGCATGTACCAATGTTCATCTTTGTCCATCAGATTTCGTGGACACACTTGTTAGCTATGAACCATAGGGTTCCTAATCACCAATTTTTACAAATTTTCTCTCGACATTAAGAGAACCCCATTTAAAAAAAAAAAGGAAGTTCACTGAATATCTCAAACCAACATTGACAATGAAACTATGGACAGAAACGCATACACTTCACATATGTGCTTTTTTGCCTTTTTAAAAAAATAATCATTTATGCCAAAAAAAAATTCAATCGTTTGTAGTTGTGTGAAATTATTTGGATAATGCACTGCTAAATTCGTAGGACCCAATCAGATTTCAAGAAATTGAGTTATGTGACTATATACGTACGTTCACTAATAACACTTGGTAGCTTCTATAAGAAAACTTCATATTATTTGCGAACAAATTACAGCCTTTTTCTTCTTTCAACCATTGATTGATCCTTTTAAGTGTTTCAAAAACTTTTTCTCTTAGTTATTGCAATACGATGGTTTTGGATCGTATGTTCTTCTACTCATATTCATATTTTTAATTTGATTGGAAGATCTCAATATTTTTGAAGTGAGTGCTTACTGATTAGTATTGGACAATATTATTATTTAAATCATAAGTCTGCCAAGGAGATGTTTTGTTCTCTAATAACAAATAAGATTTTTGGCAGCACATACGTCATTCGTTTGCGATTTGAAATAACACAAATTGAAAACCCTTAGTTGTTTCTTGTTATTACAAAACATCTACTAGATGTGATGAAGAAACACCAAAAGAAAAGACAAACACACCAAAATATAAGTAAAATAATAAAGTTACTCATCAGTACTCATTCACTCCATTGGCCCCATAACAGCGACTCCACTAACAGCTTCAAGCTTGGCAATGATTTCTTTAAGCTTCTTCCTCTGAGACACCTTGTTTAACCACGGACGGGACGTTCATCATAATATTTACACAGTGTGCCAGACCAAAGTCCGACAATGATCTCACCTCGTCTGTCGATTTGATCCATGCAATTTCTTTAAGGACAAAATCCTGTTGATTTTTGTCAAACTTGATCAACTTCACAGCAAAATTCTCCCCGGGCTCCTTAACCTTGGGAGGAGGATGTGGAAGCCCCACTGAATTTATAAGCAAATTTTTCTTTTTCTTTTCCATGTAGTTTTCTGATAGCTCCAATTGCCTCCATGACTCTGGTAGAAGGCCTTGGCCTACCATACGGATCTTTCGCAACGATTTTTAGGCATTTGTGGTCTAGGATAACGATACTTGCTAGTCGAAAACGTTCTTACAAGGGATGTAAGCAAGAAACGTCCTTGCACAATCTTCATAGCTATATTTGTTCCTCTGCGACCAAAGACAGAAATCTCAGAACAGAATGATTCAGTACATAAGTGAAGTAAATATTTGGTCTAATTAGTTACAGAAGTTATCATACGTTATCAGTGCTTAACAAGATGCAAATTTCAACAACACATTGGTTTGATCAAACACATTTATCAGATTTGAAAGACTCATTTCACGTTATATACCAGCAATGATCTGATGACATTAGTGCTTAACAACTTGCATAATAATTTCAAGAGCATATTAATAATGTAACAGGTTAGTAGGCTCAAAGGTTACTTTGTAGATCAAATGCATAATTCTTTTTCACAAGATCCGTATGGAGCAAAATGGTGAATTAGAAAAGATGGTTTCGGAAACAAGCAGAGATTCATAAGATCGATTTCAACGTCACGAACACACAAATTAAATGTTTTGAGTCGTATCAGATTCTATAGTCTAGACGAAAAGTACTTAGAATCTAAAATAATCAGGGATTACGTTCCGGTTACTGAGAAACCAAATTCTAAAGATCAAAACCTAGCAGATTCGTGAGTTATGACAGTCCCAAACTCAAAACAATGAGATCCATTAATCATAGAGACCTAGGAGTCGCGAGAGGGTTTAGGGTGACCATTCCTACCTTTGGGCCTCGAAGTTACATTTTTCGTATGGGCTAGGCCCAACTAAATCTCAACTACAACATTTCCAATGGCAAAGGATTGGAAAATTAATTTATCATGCAAAAGGCTTGTCATACTGTATTAATTTATCATACAACATTTCCATTTTAACATCACTATGTATATACACTAATTCTACAAATTTTCTCACAAAGTCTTGAAGAGACGCTAATAATATAATCATTTTTTATTGCTATAAAGCATTTTAAATCAATTTTCAATGAGGCAATTTTACTGGTTTCATACTTTATGAAATGATAAGTTTTGCGAATATGAATTTATGAAAAAGAAAAAAAAAAGAGTTATATTGAGATTTGGTGTGAGATCATTTGGATATGTTCCGATCAAAATTACTTTCACTTTAGAAAAAAACAACAAACGCAAGAACAACTTTGGAAAAGTAAATGTAGTATTTTCGATTGAGCATTTTGTTATCACCAAACATAGATCTTCCACACTTTCTCTTTCATGTGTTCTAAACATATAAAGTCATTTATAATTTTTTTTAGTTGATAAGGATTTTAAATTTACCAAAAGTGCATATTATCTTATTATATAAAAGAGAATGCGCGCGACGAGAGTTTGACACGTAGACAAAATTTTTAAGCACTAGTTC